ACATAACACCTTGCTTCAGAAAACAAACAAACAAACAAAAAAAAAAAAACTGATAAAATGCCCCCCCCCTCCCCCGTGGGAGCAACAGACGGAAGAGGACACGCAAGCCAGCCCCAGCCTCTAACACCAAGGGCGTCCACTCAGTCACACACGCACACATCCACTCTCACGCACGTCCACTGGTCATGCATGCACACATCCACTCTCAGGCTTCTCCCCAGCTAGCTCCATCCAGCAGCACCAGCATCCTCCCCCAAGCCCTGCGAAGTTCTCTCCTGGCCACACCCTGCCCGAGTGTGGGGGCCACACGTGTTGCAGCAACGTGAGAGCTAACTGTGCAGACCACTTAGGAGTTCTTCTCCCTCCCTTCTACGGCAGGTGGATCCCCATCCGCGCCTGTGCAGGCGGCCCTCAGCCCTGAAGAAGGGCGGGGCAGAGGCACAAACCCCTCCAGAAGCTGGGCGTCAGGCGCCCTGGTTACTCCAAAAGCACACAGGCCCTGCTACCACAGTGACTGGCTCCCAGGAGGAAAGAAAACTTCAAATAGCGATTAAGCCCCCCCCCCCCTGCGCGCGCGAGAAGTACCTACTGTGAAAGGGAACAGAAAAGGGACACAGCCACATGGCAAATGCCCTCCCCTAAGTTCTGCACTGAGGACGAGGCCAGGCCCCTGAGGGGGGAACTGAGGTGGCAGGAGTAGAGCAGGCAGCACACAATCTCCAGCTCAAAAACACATGCAGCTTCTCAAAGAGTCACCAAACACAGTGGGCACACTGACACAGCCCAAAGTCATGGATCCATCAAGACAGGACCCTTCTTCCAGCAGAGGCCCTGCAGGTGGCTGCCATCTACACACATCCACAATCGGCACTAAAGCCAAAGGAAGCAAGCAAGTCACCTGGCTGGTGCTACATGGTTTCTCAGGGTACACAGGGCCTGGGAGGTACTTCAGACATCAGGACAGGGCAGGTCTCCAGAGACAGAGGTGTGTGGTGGGGACGGCTGGCAGCACTGACCCTGTTCCCCTGCACAATGGTCCTGTGCTACCTGCAGTTCTCCCTCAGTCTGAAGCCCGAGAGCCTCTTCCCTGAGTAGTACTACTATACACACCACCCGCGGCCACACCTAGGGCACACTGTCATCTGCAGCCCTGGGATCCTGACGCCTTTCGGAGCAGGACCATCTGCAGACCCCTGCTGCTTATGCTGCTCTGGGCACCCAAAGCAGGGCCTCCCTGGGGAGGGGCAGGGCTGGCATCCGCTTCCTCAGCTGGCCCCGCTGCCAGTGCACAGCCCACAAGGAAATGCACCCTCGACACCAGCCCCAGGCAAATGACTCGGGTGCCACACTGGGTACCCAACATGGACGTGACCCACGCAGCCAAGAGTATTTATGCCCAAGTCCAAATCCAAGCAAACACCAGCCACTTTGCTTCCTTTGCAGTCACTCTCCAGAGGATGATAGGTGTGCTGCCCAGAGCAACCCAGCAGGAAGTTACCAGAGGGATCCTTCAGGGAAACCACAGGAACCTGCCTGCCCTTTCTCTTCCAGAGCCTCCCAATCCCTAACAACATGAGACGCAGAGGAACTCACATCAGGAGGGGGTTGCTGTGACAGAACACACACCATCATTTTTCTCAGAAAAACTAAAAGCAAAAAATGTGTTTTTAGGCTTTCCTTTTTGTATCTTCCCCAATTTCAAATGCAGTCATGCCACGCACTTCAGTCCACAAGGACCACACACAAAGGCCGATCCCACAAGCACGTAATGGAACTGAAAACCCAGGTAAACCAACGCCTGCCCCACTGCACATGAGCGGTGGTGCGCCTATAAACACACCTACTGTGCTGCCAGGCACGTAAAACATCCAGCAGTTAGACACAGTATACGTTACCAGATAGCAGCAACAAATGACTATGTTACTTAGTGGTTCTATTTATTTATTGTTTTGGAAACAGGATCTAGCAGTGTAGCTCACGCTGACCCTGAACTCACTACGAGTACAGGCTGGCCTCAAACTCATGGGGATCATCTTGCCTCAGCCTCCCAAGTGCTGGGATTACAGACATGCACCACCACACCCGGCAGTGTTTCTTTGGTCATCTGACTTCAGGGAAGAGCAGGCAGTTACCTGGTACCAGAACTGGTAAGACGGTGAGGACACGGCCTCATGTTTTATGAACCCATCACTTGGCGGCAGCAGTCTCTGCATTTCTGGTCACACCACATAAAAACACCCCAGAGAGGACTCCAGCACTGCTTCAGAAAAAACTGCCAAGAATGAGAGCCACGTGTGTTCAACCAGGGAATATTCTGAGGAGGCTTAATGGCAATTCGTCTTCTTTAAAGTTAGAAATTGTGTATCCTGGTCACCCCTTGAATACTTACCTGATGTTCACCATGCTACTGACCTAAACTATCAAGGTTTATGTAAATGCCAAAAGACAGTCACAGGATGAACCTGCTACCAATTCATCCTCAAAATGTACCCTGTTCTTAAGTCATACGTAACTGTTTTTGATGGTGGTAGAAAACACAGTCTAGAAACAGGAAGCTACAGAAACAAGAATGACTCTGAGGTAACAGAACTGCCCAAAAGCCTTCCAGCTGTCCACCAGGCCTAAAGACTAGGACCCGTGCAGACATAAGCAAGCTAGCCCAGGACAGAAAACAGCATTCCCCACTCAGGTAACGGCCCAGGGGTCCACAGCTGGAGCAGACGCCATGAAGCTCCAAACAGCCACTGGTGAAAACAGCACTGCTGGCACCAGAGCTGTTCCTAAAGAGGCAGGCAAAGGCAGGTATCTCAATACTGATTTCCAGCTCTTGGCTCTGAGAAGCAACAGGTAAAGGAGGTAATTCTTTTTCATGGGATCTCCTGAACAAGTTCTCACAAGAGCGCACGGCCCTCTCAGCCTGGCCAGTCTGCTTTTGAGCTGGTATGGCATATCCCAACAGATGCTCTAGGCAGGTCCTATCATAGGATGCACACAGCTTACACACACTCAGCATCTCTCTAGAGGGCCACCAGCATCTCGGGAAAGAGAGCAGGGCTGCTGGATCTGCTCCGCCCAGCACTGTGCTCAGCACCCACCCATCACACCCTTGAGGCAGGTCCAGCGCCATGCCATATGCCCAAGGGAGCAGGTGGCAAAGTGGCCTGAAGCGCCAAGGTCTCCATACAAGTTCTGTGGGACAAAACCATCTTCAGGTTCCCCGTTAATCACTACTCAAAGCTGAAATGCCTGCTCCTGGATTAAGTAAAGAAAGAGAACAGATAACACTGCCAGTTCACTGCTGTGCTACACAATCAGCTTTGAAACACTTGGGTCAAAGTGCTGAATTCTCAGCCAGCCCAAACGCCCATGTTCTCCCACACTGAGTTCTGACCATTTGGTGGGCTCACTGGCCCAACGCCTGAATGTCAAGGCCCTAGCAGCTCACAGAGCTCTTTCCATTTCTGCTTTGATGTTCTGTTAGATGCTTATTTTATTTATTTCCAATTAGGGAAAGGCGAAATGTTGAGGCCTCTTAAGCCAAATCTCTCGATACAACCTCTGGCAGCAATCCCAGTGAAGCCATCTTTCCATTAGGCTGGCTAGGCTGCAAAGACGGGTACCGCGGTTCTGATGGGGTCCTCTCTAAATAAGGGAGTTATTGAACACGTTTTTCTTGCTTCATCTGATTGTACTGATTATATAATGACTATAGATAGCTCTAAGAAAAGAAATAACTGCATTTGAGAGAAAAAGCAAAATAACATTTACAAAGCTCATTTTAAATTTACAACTATTAATACAAAAGTTGGTGCTTGTTCTGGGCTGAAACCCCTGCCCACTCCCACCCTGCTAATTCACAGCTCCCAGGACCCAACCCCACCATGTGATCGCATTGTGATGCAGATGTGACTTCAAACCAAACACCAGGGAAAATAAAACAAAGGCTAACAGGTGTTCTAGCCCTTCAATATATGTTACACAATTTCTAATCTCTATTCTATAGTGATAAAAATATTCTGAAAGTCTTTTGTGTGCTCATTTGCAGAGAAAGTGCAATCTTTCTGATATGCACACCCCATCTGAGTAACAAGGCAATCACTAGAACTGAGGCTCCACACACCTGGCCACACCCACAGAAAGTGTCACTCTTGAGGGTAAAGGAAGTGTATAAGAAGACAGAAAGGAGTCTGTTCACCTAGAAAAGGAGCCAGAGCCCAGTCTCTGGTGCGAAGATTCATCTAGTCACTTACCTTGTATTCTTAACTCAGCAAAGATCATTTTTAAAGATAAAAGAACAAAAAGAACAAGTCAGTGTCAAAAAGAACAGGTCAGGAAGACAAAACTCAGGGGATGGAGACTGGCAGAGGGATTTAAATTAGCCCAGGTCACAGAGGGCAGAGCGGCGACCACGTCCCCACTCTGGGAGGGCAGCAGCAGAGACTGCTTCCACATCAGAACCTTCCGTGGAGCTGTCAGTGTCTGAGCTACTCAAGAAAGCACCACAAAATGAGAATGGCTGCAGCAAAGCAGGAAGGAGACCCCCATCTCCTTCCCAACAGCCACCACTCTGGACCACGGGTCCCACTCTAACTTCCACTTCAGGGCTGCCTTCCTGACTATACTGCACCACTTTCCCAGGCAATTATTTTTTTATGCCCTACAAGGACCCAAAATCTGTTATGAGGTGTGTTTTCTTATGTTAAAGATGGCACTATCTGGATGAGATCCAGAGACCTGGGCAAACACAAGCATGGCCATGTTACAACGACAATGTCCAGCTTACCCTGGAGGTCACCAGGCATGAAGAAAACTATGGGAAATATAAAATGGTCCAAGTCTGTCACCTAACAGTTTTACATCCATGTCCCCCAAACAGTGGTAAAGGAGAGGGCCACACTTCAGAGACTACGAGGAAACACAGGGCCATCTGGCAAGGGCCCTGCAGGCTCCAGTCCCCCTCACTCTGGGCCCACTGTCGCCCGGTGCTCAGGTGTGCTTACCTGTGAGGGGGAATATAGGGAGCAGAGACAGTCGGCAGGACCGCACAGGGCTCAGCCAGCATTTTCTTAGTCTTTTTCGCTTTCTTTCTGACCTTGGATGTGGCCCTGACTGTTTTGACTGAGCTCTCTTTTCTACAGACACCATTTTTCATTTCGACATCCCCATAAATGTTCAAAGGCCTGCGAGTACAGCCCGCAGGCGTGTGGACATCACAGTACGCGGTCTTTCTGACGGAGAAGGTGGTGCTGCCTCCCGTCAGCTCCTTCACAGGCTCCATCTTCATGTATAGGCCAGCCTTCTGGGCACATGTCACATGGAAGGCTGTGTAGCAGTTGGCTTTGTGGCACTGGATGCAAGCACCCACGCCTTTCTGCTTACAGAGGTAGCATGTCAGTTTCCAGCGGGCTGGGGGGATGTTCCTCACGCCATCAATGGGCTCGATGAACACGGTGTTGGCGAAGCCGACCTCTGGGATCCACAGGGCGCACACCACGTGGCCCCAGCGGTCATCGTCTGTCTTTTTGAAGGCACCGCCCTTGTTGGGGCACAGCACACAGTCGGCAGGACGGGCCCGGGACTGCAGGCAGTGGCGGCAGAGCCACTGGCCCTCGGGGATGTAGGGCACCCCATAGCACTCCTGGTGCACGGCCAGGTTGCACAGGTCACAGAAGAGGATCACGTTGCTGTTCTGACACTCACCATCCATGCAGATGCAGCACACGGCATCCTCGTCGATCAGAGACTGCTGCTCACCCTGCTTCTGGTTCTCACAGTACGACTCCTTCTCGAATCGGTCCATCAGGAACTCAAACATGTTCTGCGACACTGCAGAGACACAGTCACCCTTCCGCTTTTCATTGATGATCTCCAGCCAGGCGTAGTCCTCCTCATCCATGTCATACTCCACCTCGTTGTCCAGCTCCTCTGCCGACTTCTCGATGAATTTGTAGTACATGGGGGGCCTCCGGGGTGCTGACGGGGGACTGTATTCCACAATCCGCACCTTGGGCTCGGGAAGGGAACTGGCTGAGGCAGGTGTGCCATGCGTGCTGGGCAGGGCTTCATTTTTCTTTTTCACTCTGTTATTTTTGTGGCGCTTAGTTCTTAAACAAACAGGTGGCCTCTCACTGTTTTCTTTATTGCTGTTGCATTCACTCATTTCCTGAGCAGTGAGGTCATCTTCCAATATGATCTCAAGAGGATCAAAAATACTGATCCGATGCAAGCGCCCTTCGATCTCTATCTCAACCATCCTTTGAGCTTGTGCGTAGGTCAGGGTCTCTCGCGTTGGGGAGTGTTTAACACTGCACGGGGAGGAAGCGTGCCTCGCTGCAGAGCCTCGATGGCATCGTCCTTTCCTCCTCATTTGGCAATGATTACCTAGAATGAAGTCAAAGAAGTTACATGCAGGCTGGCAAAAGACCTGAGCACACCACTAAAGCAAAGCACACCTGGACAGTGCTTACTAACCAACACAAGGCCCCAAGTAGAAAACAGTTAATCCATCACAGAGGCTCCTGTGGCCTTCCTCTGCAGGACAGCAACTCCCCAAAGCCAGCAGGAAGGAATGCCAGCAGCACCCAGGGAGCACACCAGGGCACACAAAGCCGTGCCTTAGGACAGGAGCTCCTGAGGACAACCGCAGTGACTCACCAGTTACCTCTTCAGGTCAAGTCAATAGGTTTCCAAAGGGATGGCACTAGCACCTCCAGACTAGGGACCCAGACTCTAGCCCGCAAGCACATGGCTATTTCTGCCTCCACTCCACCCCCGGCCAACAAGCCAACCCTGGACTGGACTCCACCAGGCACCAAGGCTGCAACTACACAGCAGGTGCGTGCAACCTGGCCCTGAAGAATGCTCCCTGAATGCATCTTTCCTCTCCCACTGAGCCAGGGGAGTGCCCTTGGGCTCAATGCAATTCTCATACTATCCCTGCTAGGGGCCAGCTACATAAGACAGTAAGACATACACCCCAGCCTACCCCTCCTCCCCACAAACATGTCCTCTATACCTCCCCACAGCCACAGACCAGTGAGGAGAGCCCAATGCCAGTCTGTGGAAACCTCTTCACCCTGGTGGAGCAGCCCAGCTTCTGCAGAGCCTCAGGTGTGACCATCATGGAACCCCACCCTGGGCCATTCAGTGCACCTGCCCCCAAGCTCTGGCTGGACTGCTGTTCTGGCTCATGTTCTCTTGTCCAAGTAAACCCAGCTCTGCAGACCATGCATCTCTGCTGTCTTCCCAGCACACCTAAAGGTGTTCAGCTACTGTTCCACGGTGGGTTAACCTTGCACTGCCTGCAGAGACTAAGAAATTTGTGAGTTGCTCTTTTCAGAGGTTGGCAAAACACAGCAAGTGGGCAACTCATCCCTCCACCCTGAAGCAGAGAACTCTGCTGTCACTTCCTACCTCAGTTTCTGATGTTCTCTGGTATGGCCTGCTATCTAGGTACCTCAGGAGAAGACATGTCACCATAGATACCACCACCAAGCAAGACAGGCCCTTAGCAACAAGGGTGGCTGTGACTCCTGCCTCCAAACTGCCACATTTTACTGAAAGGGAGCAAAATGATTTTTAACTAATTCACAAATATTCCAACTTGAAGCCCATGTCAGTTAGGAAAGCCCGGCACTGGGCTATCAGGGAGCTAGAATTTATAGCCTCACAACAACACAGCTGATCTTCAAAGAAAGCCCTTGAGAGGCAGGACTCACCCCAGTAAATCCTACATACTTTTTCAAACAGACCCTTCAGATTACAGACACCTATACTTTATGTCCAAATTGGACAATTTCCTACAGAGAGGACCAAGCAGACCTGGTAGTCACCCAAATCCCAACTCAGCTGCATGTAAGGAGCCTGCACGTGCCCCCTCAACCCAGGATTCCCAGAGCTATCAGCAAAGCCATCCTAGCAGCCCTACACTGCTAGTAGCAGCCCCAAAGGGATCAGCACCACATCCTCCAGAGGGAACCCCAGAGCTCTTGGGACAGCTCCATGTCAGCTCTGAATGAGGCAGAAGCAACAGTTGGATCTTTTACTCACAAGAAAGACACAAATCTGTCATTTTCTTGTTTACAGGCAAGTACCAAGGCGCTCTAACTCTAACCAGCCTTGCAATAACCACAGCCTGCCACTGAGCGCTGAAGCCCTTCACCATCCTCTGTAAGAATTTAACCTAAAACTTAAATGGTCACAGTGACTCTGTAATTTGAAAACGTAATGACCTCAAGAAAGGGGGCACTTAGCAACAGAGAGTGAAGGAAGCCTTCATCCTACACCCAGACTCTGTGCTTGGCCCTCCAGCCCTGACCACTCTCAGCATGCCAGTACCAGGACAGCATTTCCTCAGGGAGGGATCAGCATTCCTCTCCACAAATAACTTTAAACATCCTGAAAAGCTCTGTGGGTAAAAGAGGGGGAGGGCACTTCACACTCCTGATCAGCTGGTTTGTTTCCTGCCAGGCTGTACTGTGGGCAAGTCATTTAAACTTTCCCAGCCTCCGCCTCTGTACTACAAAGTGCAGACAGGAGACTCCTCCCAGGCAGCAGCGTGACCCTCCAGGGAGTGAACAGCAACACAGGAGCTCAGGCAGTGCGGGGCAGCGCAAAGGACTAACGCCCAAATTCCACAACTGCATACTGTCTGAAGGCACTGGAAACAGACCCAGGCACTGGGACGCTTTCTGGGATGAAGGGAACTTCCTCAAGGAGGGGGCGGTTTCCCGGTGTGTATAAAGTGCCCGAACTCTGGTTTCTGTGAACTATGCCTCAGTGAAGCAAGGCCCCGGAGAGCCCGCGCTTAGTTCCAGGCGTTTCCTGCACACATCCTGCGGGCTGGCTGAGTTAGGCAGGACTGGATGGGCCTCCGGCTGCGCCGGAGAAAGCGGGCTCATCTCTACCGAGGGAGTTTCCTGTCCTGGCAAAGGAGATCGGGCCTATCTGTTACATAATGCGACCCGCGCGAGCGCGGCCGGGGCTCGGAGAGGGCCGTGGGCCTGCGCCGCAGACCCCGGAGCCTCCCTACCGCTCCAGCCTGCGCTCCGCCCGGCCCAATCCAGGCCTCCGGGGCCTTTCCACCCCCGTGCCCGCTGGGTCTCGGCTTCCCCACCTCCTCTGCCCGGGACTCCGCACCGCCCGACCCGCCCGGCCCGATCCTAAGCCTCCCCGCCGCCCAATCCGCCGGGCCGACGTCTCCCTGCCTCCTCGCTCCCGGAGCGATCCTGGCCTTCCGATCCGCCCGGCCCGACGTCTGCTGGCCTCCTCGGCCCGGCCTCCGCCTTGGGACACGACTGGGCGATGACTTTATCCTCAGTCTTCTCGGCCTCCACAGCTTCCGCCTCCTCCGCCGCCCTATCCGCCCGGCCCGACGTCGCTCGGCCCCCTCGGCCTCCTCACCCGCCCCGCTGACAAAGCCTCCTCGGCCCGGCCTCCCCGCTCCAAAACCCGTCCGGCAGGCGTCTCCGGCCTCCTAGGCCTCCGGGCCGCACGCCCACCCCGGCCTCCCGTGTCCCCGACAGCCGGCCGCGACGCCGGCCTCCCCGCTTCCCGTCCTCCGCCGCGGACAATGCGAGGCCGCCGCAAACATGGCGCCCGCAGCTCCGCCTGAGGCGGCCGGGCGCGCTGGGCGAGGGCGCCGCGCCACTCACCT